GTAGTCGCCTATCGTGATCCCATGGTTATCTATACCAGCAGGGAGGCCATGCTAGGGTTGACACGGTCCTTCATGGGGGCCGTGTTCAGAGCCAGATCGGCGTAAGTCAGGAATGTTACATCTGAGTCTACTACTCACCAATCACCAATTGGTGACGAGTTTTGAACGTATCCGGAGGCCTGCCAAGGTTTTACCGGGACGGGGGCAGCCGCACTATTAGCCCACTCGCCATTTCAAGAAGGTGTCACCCTTCTTTACTTAGGGAGCAGAATAGCACGACTGTCAGCCCTGTAGCGTGGTATCCAATCCATTGTGCCGTGTCGTGTCCATAGTTCCATGCCGTATCCAGTATGCCGTAATAAGGATCTTACTGGCGTTGATCCTAATGTGCCGGTTGGCACTCCTGCGGGTTGACGAAGCATTTCCTCGATCGCCGTGTTATGGTTACCGCGCCAGTGTTCGCGTCGCACCCCCTCACTTTGCTATTGTCAGAAGGACAACATTGCCCAGGCTACACCACGGGGAGGTGTGAGGTAGGAACTTGTGAGGACCAGAGATAGGAAAAACGCTCTTCCCAGGTTGTCAATTCACCATTTGTAGCCCACATGTCTGTGTGTGTGTGTGTGTGTGTGTGTGTGTGTGTGTGTGTGTGTGTGTGTGTGTGTGTGTGTGTGTGTGTGTGTGTGTGTGTGTGTGTGTGTGTGTACGTGTGTATGTGTGTATGTGTGTATGTGTGTATGTGTGTGTGTATGTAACGAAATGAATGCGCTCACGTTTCTCAGCAACCGCTCAACCGATTTGGACAAACTCGGCGCCAAATGATAGTTCTTGGGGTCCCATTGAACGCTATTGAACGGTTTTGGAATCGGTGGATTTAACGGAAAACGTATCAAAACCATCATACGACACATCAAATTACTACAGAATTCAAAAATAAGATCAATGCAAGTCGTGTTAAGTGTTCCAGACCACATTGGACACACTTGGACATGTTCCGGGTACCCCGGGGAAGTTGCTTGAATATGAATTTAATTAAAACCAATTAAATCACATTAAAATACGATGATAAGGTGATTGGTAGCCCCACCAAATAGACTACACCCGGATATATTCCGGGTACCCCCAGGCAGTGGCGTAGCGTCACTGGATGACACGGGGGTGGGGAGCCTGGGTACTGATAATGACAATAAAATAAATAAACTTGAATAAGTAAGAAGGGTCTGATCACACCATAGGTGGATAAATTCGGGTTTTTTTTTGTTAATTTTAGAAAAATTTAAATTTAAGTTTCGAGTGTGTAAAAATGATTAGATGTACGTTTGCGAAATTAGTGAGTAACTGTCATATTCTGAAAATATTGTAAAACCTGTTTATTTTTTCACGGTTGATTTCATGTTTTCACACTTTGACTTGACCCAGCACCACACCACATGAACAAACATATTGTCAATTCGCAAATGTATTGTCAACATTATTGATGGTGTAAGAGCAAAATGAAAATATTGACGCAGAAACAGAAAAAGTTTCAATATTTCCCCAAATTGTTCCCATCTGTTTGACTACAGTAGTAGATGGACCCTGTTCCTGAGCAACTTTTGAATTAAACTGAACTGAAAACTATGAATTCTACATCGGTTTAAAAACATAGTAAGAAGCGGCTCTGTATTGAAGACTCCACTAAAATATTGTTGAAAATATTAACATGGCAAAATTGATGGAAATATTAGTGAAGTGCACTAAAGAAGGGTCCAATGCAGAAACTCATGAGAGACCCGAACGAATGTATTTTTGTTATACAATGGACGTGAGGATGTCATACAACAGACGCATTTTCTACGCAAAAATCTAAAGCACGACAAAATTTTGCGAACAGTATGGTGGTATGAAGCAACAGTAAATCAAAAGTCATTTTTGAGTCCATTTTAATCCCCAGATCAGTCACATTGGTACAGGAAATTCGGTAAAAATGAACATGGCGAGAAAATTTACACTTGCTGCAAAATTTATTTTTAGAAAAAATAGCACTACATTTTTTAACACAATCAAGCTATTTAACTTAGTCCATGTTGAAAGGCTGGAAATCTATTGACTCTTCATTTGATTTGTACAAAGAATCCCGTCACCACGACGCGACTTTTCTAATTTCACTAGTGACAAAAGTCAGTTGGACTTTTAGAATAACCCTCATTATGTATGTGGAAAATTTGTGTATTTCTGAATTACAAAGAATTTCTTCAAAATGTTCTCATGAATTTCCTAAGAACCATCCTAGAATTTCTTCAGAGCATTTTTCAGATTTCCATTTTATTATTAATTCGTACATCACACTTGAATACCTTAAAATTCTGAGCAGATGTATTTTAAAATTTTCCTGAAAATGCCCATAGATATATTTAATTCCCTCTGAAATTCTCCTCGGAATTGCCTGAAATCTTTTTCTAAAAATTCTCTTGAAATCATCTTTAAGATTGCTCCAAAAGTCTCTTCAGAATTCGATTCATTTTTAATTTTCTTCAAAATTCTTATCAGATTTCTCCTGGAATCCCTTTGAAATTGTCCATGAAACTCTGCTCAAAATTCTATTAGGGTTATCTCCACTATTCACTTGAAATTCGCAACAATTCAATGGTTTAGAAATAGTTATGACGTGAGAATTTGATATGGAAGGTTGGGGCTGCACAATTCGTTTTGTTGTAAGAAGTGCAAATGGTGAGTAGGGATAAGAGGGGAATAGTGATACCGTGCGCATCCTATAGTGATACCGTGCACCAGCTTGGACTTCCGGCCGTTCGGAACAAATATATTGGTGGTAGGATCAATATCATAATGATATTGAACCTATTACCAGTTGATTTGTTTCATGCAGCTAGAGATCCAGGGCCAAACTGCGGGATGCTCACTTAGCCCCTCCTCCCCCTAGATACAAAGGAGATTAAAGGGTCATTTACGTAAGCAATTTTTTTTTCAAACCCCCTCTTCCCCATTGTATTACATACTAGTATTTAACAAAACCCATCATCCCCCTTTGCAAGATTTTTCATCGAATATCGAAATATTCATGCATACGTAAGATATTTCTGAGACCTCCTCCCTCTCACATACGAAAACGTGGCCCCTTAATGATGATTCTTAAGGGTTCCTGCAGAAAGGTGCGATAAACAGCAGATGATTTTTCGTAGATTGATCGAGAATCTTTTGATTGAAATTTAGATGTCATATCCCTCCCTCCAGGGTGGAGGGTCCTCCTGCAGAAAGGTGCGATAAACAGCAGATGATTTTTCGTAGATTGATCGAGAATCTTTTGATTGAAATTTAGATGTCATATCCCTCCCTCCAGGGTGGAGGGTCCCTCCTTCTCTTTCGAAAGGGAAGTGGCACAGTTAAAATTCGTACATTTTAAGAACTACATTCAATTTTTGAAAGAAACACGTGAGATGCCATTCATTCTTCATTTACATGTTGCTACTATGTTCATTCCAGAAAGCACCGAATCTTCGAAATCACCTGCCCTGCTTTTATGTTCTCTGATCTGAAATCTATCTATCATGATGTTTTCCACACATCCTCAAGGGTAAAACAGGCATTTTCAGGGATTTCATTTTCCTACGCATCACTAGTTTTTTGTCCCTGGGATCATTTATAAAATGTATTACAAATTCATTGTTACGCGTAGCTCTACCAAGTAACCCATCTCTCTCCCTCAACAAAGTGTAACAAAACACTTGTCTACACTCCCCCTCTCTTCTTATTACGTTACGTAATTTGAGATAGACACTTTCTAATAACGCAAGATTCAAGTAAAGAAGTAAAATCTTAACAACTCTTTTAATAAAAATGTATATATAATAATAAAAAGCTCTAAGCCCGTAAGTCCTACAATGATATTTATTTTTTTTTCACAGAAATGATCTTTAATTCTCATTTTTCATTATGTTCTTCAATCATCCCATTTTTTAGGCTAACCTGCTCTTCAAAAATTGACATTGAAAATAAGGAAATACAATTTTTGATGATTCTTTGCAAAAGTATACATCACTCGAAAAAGGATACGAACCGTAGGACTAGGAGGACAATCCAAACAGCTTGAGGCGAAATGAATATGCAATATTTCCAATCATGAGGTTGGAGTTCTGTTCATCAGAGATGATGATAGTCGATGAATTAACCAAACCGTTGGGAACCACCAAATTGCGACAGATGTTGCAGCATACTGGACTCATTAAATGACTTCATGTGGTGGAACAAAGCAGCTTCTCTGTTATCGTAAAACAAATTATAAGTTCTTATATGAAGATTGACTATATCAACTGATAGACGCTCTAGTGTAAACGGATTATAAAAAAAAACTAAGGAAAGTTTTCATTCAGGTTCCATGGGCATTATTATGAGAATCCAAACAACATACTTTTTAAAACAATTTTGCTGAAATCTCAGCCTGCAAACATACATTTGGATATGATCTAGGTAAAAATAAATACCGAGCTAATCGGCAGTGCCGGTTTTTCCGAGCTAGTTTGACTGTGCATTATGCTCATTTTCAAACAAAACAAAACGGGGGCGACCCCGGCGTAGTGGTTAACATCCATACCTCTCACGCCAAAGTCTTGAGTTCAAATCTCACCCCGGACAAGTCACGAATGACCCAAGAGTGTTAAAGTGACTATAAAAAAAAAAAAAAAAAAATCAAACAAAACGGGTATTCAATACAATTTTTTGGCGTGACTGGTAGCTCACCCAGTATGCGTGAGCGAGCTACCAGTTACGCAAAACCGACGATCAAATGCATTGTTTACAAAAGCTGATAGGTCCCTTCGAAAAAGTATCCGAGAGTTGACTATTTAATTTACCTGGTGGGATGATGGACGGCGAAAAATCCAACTAAATTAATAGTTATCGAAAACAATAAATCTTGATTTGTTGTCTTCGTAATTATTCAAACGTGGTTCAGGTATTTGTTCTTCAATGGAATTTCTTTCTAGAGTTGACTTCATACAAACATATTCTAGAATTTTATCGAGTTATCATTATTCATACAATCTTCGTATAAACATTTGGTTATTGTTAGTTATCATAAATAGGTTTTTCAAGAGAAAAAATGTATATTTAGTACATTTGTATAATTAAAACAACGAATAAGTTACACCTGTCCTTGTATGCCGTGAAACTTTATGAGAACCATTTTAATATTTTGGCTTTCTTATAAATACAAATATACAAACATATGCTCGTCAGTTTCAAAGATACATAATGATTTATGATACATGATTCATATGAACAGATTTATTACAAAATTGTACATTTTGAGCATTTGAAGATGAACAGTTGTTCGTTTTCAAATAGCTTGCCATTCAAACGAAAAACAAAACATTGGGACATGATTGAAATGATTAAAACTTCAAGGCCTGAATTCATTTTAAATTTGTTATGTTGGATATGGAATTAAACTCGATTTTCGAACATTGCTACCTTTTGCTACTATTACATGTTTCGTAACAGACCATTTGTACTTTTCTATTCTACCTTTCCATACGCAAACTACTGACAGATTGTTCTTTACCGTACCAAGCAATGCAAAGTTTAATCAAGGGACAAATGTAGTTGACAAAGAGTTCGGTCTTTTATCACGTTACGCAAAAAAGTGATTTTTCTCACGCATTATACACTTTACTTATATTTAAAAAAAATATAAGGCGTGCCACGCATTTCGTAATATTTAACCGGGCCCAAATTGAAGAATAAACAGAACCATATAACAATTTGCCACTTGCATCTATGCGTCTCAATAATTGATTGTTTCCCAATAGAATATGCATACTAGTCAGACTAGCCAATTAGAAAAAAAACCTTGGTTAAATAAAATGAAACATTACTCGATTGCATTTATCACTCAATTTGAGTATCTACTGACTTTCACGTCTAAAAAGATCGAAAATGTGTATTGTCTGTAACAACTTTTCCATATCATCTACCTTCAGAAACACCGCCATAACATTAGTATATTCAAGTTCATGCACAAGTTCAGCGAAGGTCACAACCATACTCCTCGTTTATATAACGCGCAATACGTTTGCGTTACATCGCGTAACGCAAGGCAGCAGCTTTTCTGTGGCTTTTGGTTCGATTATTTGCCTTTTTCTTATTGTCCAGCAATTTGATTGATGTTCTACACATTGTCCCTAACTTGAGGATATGAGTTACAGTTAATTCAATGAAATTGGCAGTGATCGTGTGCAATATGCTTCTATTCATACTGTTCTGATTATTTGTTAAACGTACTATCACAATTTAATGCCTAAAGCTAAACAGTTCGCGTCATTGCTGTAACGAATAATAGTTTCCAAATTCCTGATCGCTGTCAGACCTTTTAAGTTTCTGTATAAAACATGTTTAGTCTACGAGATACAGAGATGGCTAGCTAGCGCAATGTCTCCGTACGGGCACAGGTGGTGGAGATTTCAAACGGTCCTTTGAATTGATTGGAACAGGGATGTGCGTTTCCTGAAAGTTAATATCGAATATTTAATGATAACATTTGTTGTTGAAGTAGAATAAGGTTGAACTTACATGATTATTCCTAGGGACCCGTCTCCATCCGTTGCTTCGACGCCAAGTGGGAGATGATGTTTGAGTACCATCTCTGAGAATTTTACTATTGTTTTGCTGCACATTGTGTTTATTATGACAAGTGATCAGTACGTCCTGAAGCAGATCTGTCGTTGCAGCCGGATGAATATTGGCAGGATGTCTTTGGGGCGAAGGTGGCGGTGAAGGAAGCGGAGGTTCATGTCTTTCCGTGATAACATCACTCGATTCACTGGAGGAACAACTATGAACTTGAGCTTGGCCAGCCTCGCTAGGAGTGGGGCTTGTCAGTCTTTCGTTTTCGTCGCTACTGCTGGCCGTAGTGTCCACCGGCGTAGGCGACTGTAGGCTTCGATTGCTTTCAGACTTTATACTTACAAGTCTATAGAAATCTCGTGTAAAATTTGTACATGCTACTTCTTCGTCTTCGGAATACACAATCTAAAAAACAAATTGAGCATGATTATTTTAGCACGTCAGAACTTACCCAGGAACTAACTAAAAGTGAAAAACACAAAAAACTGTCTCGCCTTGCCCAACTTTAAGCTACGAACAAACTTTCTCGACAAACTTTATCTGCTTGGTATCAAGTTATAGCGGCAGCCACCGTGCAGATGATAATCTCCAAAACAATAAATCCATTCTCACTTTCATTCTTATACAGGTGGCACAGGCTAGGCGAACAAATTAACTCTATTAAAACTTACTTGCTCTTGTAATAATGCAGATACGTCTTCCGTTTGCGTCTCGGCCGTAGTAAGAAAGCTTGAATTCCAGATCCATTCATGACTGTCCTCCTCCAAGGCTGTAGCCAGCTCTTCCTGTGACATGCTCCAGTCTTCCATTTCGGCGGTGCACGGTTCAGCCGATACAAGCCACTGTTCTGGTTCCTCGGGCAGCTCCTCCAGGTGGCCTTCTTGCGTGGGCTGAGGCTGCCCGGTACTCATAGTACAATAACCTTCATCGCGACTTTTTGCCGGACTAGCGGTGAGAGCCGCATTCTGAGCTTCCAGATCTCGTACGCGGTTCTTCAAAATAGACACTTCGTCTCTCAAACAGTCTTCCGCCACCAAGGCATCTACCACTTTTCGCATTATATCGTCTAGACAGGCTTCGTACTGTTTCACTCTTTGGTGTAGGGATTTGTTCTCGTTCTGAAGGATTAGTAAACTATTTTCTTGACGCTGGAAGCGAGCCTGTTAGAATAGAATTACCTTATGAACTGGATTGTGTTATGTGATAATTGACTATTACCTGTATCGTTTTGTGTTCTTTGCAGGATTGAAATGATTTTTTATCCTTTGTCTTGATTACTTTGTTCATTCTGAAATAGATACAATTAAAAGTATGGATCATTATTGGCTCACAAAAATGAAGAACTGGGTTCTTGATAAACTTCGTAAATAGTGTTTGGAGACTCCCCTGATTTTTTGGCGTAAACAGTTGAACATACCAAAAAATTATAAACCGTGAACAACCCTTTTACTGCCTTCGCAATGTATCCCTCAGATTACGACTATTTTATGATTATTAAGGATTTCTTTTCTGTATTGAAGTAACCCTTATGATTCTTAAAGTGTGGAATATTAAATTAGTTGAATAAAAAACGTTATTTGTATCCCGGACACGATGTAACTAATACGTCAATTTTTTGATAAATCTGGAAGAATCTAGAATAATTTTTGAATTTTTCACTAACATGCAGCAATATGAAACTCTTCGTGAATTTTCAAATGATAAATCATCATGCTTTCTGTTGTGTTAGTGCTGAAGAGAGAACTCTCACTACGATTGAACGAATAAGTATAGTGAGAGAAAAAAGGAATAAAATAGGCATTCGGTCTTGACTGCAAGAGGATCATAATAATTTTTTTTTTTTTACTTTGTTGAACTACCAACTAGCAAGAAGTGTTTCTACTGTATATATATCACGGTCAATCTTTAGTCCATGGTAGGACATATCACTTTCTAGTGCCCAGTATTGAAATAAAATAAATTGATAAAACGTTGAGATCGTTATCAGACGGATAGTAACTATCCGGATATCCGGATAGTGAAATTTCAAATTGATTCTCCCTTTAAGGGGTTACGCCTACCTGCAAACTTTCAAAAATTCGAATTTTTTTTTATTGTCCGAATCGAAAGTATATAAAGTCAAGAATATTTCCTCAAAAGATCAAGTTGATCCGATGAAAATTGTGAAAGTTATGCTACGTACAAAAATATTCACTTATAGTGGACTAAACCCAACTTGAAACTTTAAACGCGATTATCTCGGACTCATATTTTCAAAACCGGTGCCAAAAATTTCTCGAAATGTATACATTCGATTCGTCCGATTCGTTTTGATTTCTGTTCATTAGGGTAATTGATTCTGGTTGGACCTATCCAAAAACTGATGATGGTTGGACCTATTTTTTCAATCGCTTGTTTAGTCAATCTTCGCTAAGTTTTTATTTTCAAAGATCACTTTACTATCACAAAAAACTCTTTTTTTTTCAATTTGCTTGGGTGTTTATTGAAAAAACTTCAAAACAATTGAGATTCAATGTGTTTTCAAAACAGTTCACTTTCCTTGCATTAGCTCGTCATAATGCCGTACTTTCAAACATACAAAAAGGAATATTTTTTACATTTATTTTTATTTTCATGTAGTAAAATACTGCTTTAAGGTGTAAACAACAACTACGCCATTTATCCATTGGTTTCACTCAAATGTTTGAATAATTGACGAAATTCGAATAGATAAATATGATCATGGTTGGACCTACGCATGATGATGGTTGGACCTATGTGTTTCCTAAGACGGCCGCTAGGTGCGCTTTGGTTTGTCTACGTCCTTCATGCGCAGGTGATTTGAAATTCGATTTCGTTTTGGCCGAGTGATCAGTTTCTTCGATTGAAAAAATGGCTAAAGAAAAGAGTTATACGGTCGAAAATCTTCAAGAGGCTGTTTTTTTAGTAAGAAATAAATCACTTACCGCGTATCAGTCACAGAAAAGGTACAATATTCCGAAAACGACGCTGCACGCAAAAATTAAGGGAAGCCACGGCAAGAAATATGGAAGGGAAATAGTGTTGAGTGTTGATTTGGAGAACCAGCTAGCGGATTGGGTTTGTATGTGCGCTGCTTCTGGCAGTCCCAAGACGACTAATAAGATCTTGGAAGCTGCTAAAGACCTTGCGTCACTAGTTGGGCGTAAATTTAAAGGAGGAATTCCATCGTCAGGTTGGCTGAAAGGGTTACCACCGATTTCCGAACTACCACGAAAGCGCCGAAAGAATCTGTTAATATGAATTTACATTAAGCACTTCTCATACACCTTCTGTATGTGAATTAACTTGAAATAAAATGTTAACTCCTAGGAGAAAAAGGACTATAAAACCGGAATTCAGTTCTGATATCCTGTCATTTTAAGCCCCTAAATTCCCTGGGGGCACCCAGGACATGCCCGGAAGTGGCCAATGGGGTCCAAGGCACTCAATTTTGTTTTTGATCTTGTTATCGAATTTGGAAGTAATGTGAAGTGTCGCATGATAGGTTTTATTCCTGCCATGTCAAAATTAGGTCCATGTTCCATATACCCTGAAACTTGTTCCGGCCATATCTCCGGAACCAGTTGACCGATTCCAAAAATATTCGATAGCTTTCAATGGGACCACAATACCTATAGTTTGACGCTAAAAATTTTCCAAATCGGGTCAATGATTTCCGAGAAAATGAGCCACGATGAATAGCTAATGCGTGCAAAGTCAACTTTTTTAAAAACGAAGTTAAACTCAAATTTCTTGATTTTTTTTAAATAGCAAATTCATAAAAACTGTATAAAAAGAGTTTTTTCATTATACCAATAAGCTCTAAACAAAGTTTTTGAACAAATATGGGCTAAACTAGCATTTGCAAAAATAGGTCCAACCATCATCATTGTTTAGGTCCAACCAAGATCAGTATAGGTCCAACCAACATCATAATTCTTTGCTGAATAAAAACGTTTTATAAAATCATTTGTTCATAATATTTAACTTTTTATTTTATTATTAAAACTAGAAAGGTAGATCTTTCCCCTAATCACACATTTTTTTATAATTATATGTTGCATTCATTAAAAAAATACGACATGAATGTTGACGTCGTGTGAAACCGGCCTAAGGGGCTGTCCATAAACTACGTAGACAGTTTAGGGGGGGGGGGGTTGACAATTATCCACGGCCCATACAAATTTTAAATTTTTTGTATGGACAACTGTCTACGCAGGGGGAGGGGGGGGGGTCAAGAATCCCAAAAAACTGTCTACGTAGTTTATGAACAGGCCCTAAATAGGTCCAACCATCATCAATTACCCTACTATTTTGTGCAGTCCACGATCGTTCGGATTTCGTCTATCATTTAATTTCGATTTTTTACAGCCGATCAAAGACAAATTTTAAGGATCAAAAATCGGCACTTCAACTTTGCAAGGCCACCATTTTGTAAAAAATAAAAATAAAAAAAAACCGAACGATCAAGGACTAGTTTAACACATGCTTAACGATTTGGCATGTTTTTTTTTTATTTCAGATGATTACATCACAAACCGCAGTTGGCACCGCAAAAAGCGTTTTTTAGAACATCGTCCACGGGGAGCAGCCGTGCGGGGCACCAGGACCTCGTTTTTACAGCATCGACTGATAAATGTACCATTTAATGTGTGTTCAATAAACGGCAGAAAACCGATTTTCAATATGTTGCGTCGTTTTCGAGAAAAAAATCCAAACTTTCGCTTTTTTTCGGACTTGCAGGTAGGCGTAACCCCTTAACAGTTTTCTTTTTTACTGCCAAAGTCGCCTAGCACATCAGACCAGATCGGTTCACTCAATACATTAAATCAAGGTTAATGCATAGTTCAGGACACCTACATCCGAAAACCTCCCGGATGCATAGTTCAGGACACCTACATCCGAAAAACGCCGGAAAATAAAACCCTGGGACCCGGGAAATAGAACAACTAGTGGCTTAGGCACGTCCCCTTCTGGGACGGCGCAGAACCTCCCGGGGTTAAACAGTAAGGACTTTCAAATTTTATCTTCATGCGATAGGCCGAAGTGAATTCAATGGCGTTTCAATGCGTTAGGCCGAGTTTAGAATCCGTAGGCCGAGTTTGGAGTTAAGCAGCAGTTTTATGTTTTTAACTATATCTCAACAATCTGCTACTCTTTATCTAGCTTACCGTACGTACGGAAATGTAAATAAATTTAGAATTCTTCTGTTCAAGTTTGTAAAAAAACTCGCTCAAAAAATGGTGGGTTGTATTTAGTAGGTCCAAATAGAAAAAAAGGTAAAAATTTAATACAAGAAGGTTCAAAAAACGAAAATTGTTCACTCATATTTAAGAATTTTGTTTCATTTTAATATACTGGATATAACTTTTTTTATACATTCTTTAATTCCAAATAACCTTAAAATGCTGCCCTCCATTAATGTTTAATCATGTTTTTATTTCATGTCAAACTTAACGTCTCTTAACCAGACATTGGGATTTACCTTTCCTCTTATCACGGAAGCATCCGAGGCAAGAAAACTGTTTACATTTCCGTAACTTGTCTATTTGTTTAGCTTACACACCGCACCAGAAACCATTTTTCCTTAGTCTGTCTGCAGCTTCACGTTTCGGCAGTGCCACTGCTTACACTGCTGTCTGCTTGTCATGTGCCCATTTTTCCTAGCTTTGTGTTTGCTGTAGAGATTATTGTTCATCACAACGAAAAAACTGATGCTGTTCAAACAAAGGGTCCCGGAAGGGCTTTCCAGGATACGCATTTTGGCATCTGTGCATTTTGCGTATCGAATGCTGCTGACTGGGGTTAGGTACTTAAAACCAAATTTTCCAAAGCCAACAAGTAAATCTGCTACTACTTCAGGATCTTCCTGTGAAACGGGTGGTATTCTCCACCTCCTTGCTATATGTATAGGGGAAGTATGCTTGTTATGGAACTAGTGCTCCCATACGGCCATACGACGATCAAATTAATTTTACGTTTTTAAAAATGTTTCAACTTAGGCAAGCAGAACAGCATTGAGAATCCTTGAGTGTAATGAAAATTTTGATGATTTAGGCCGTATGACGATAACTGGTATACTTCCCCTATTTTACTCACATTTTGTCTCTATCCGAACGTTACATACGATTTTCTTGAAAGAATTTAGATTAGTTATCACGATGAAGAAAATAAACATAATATTTGAACAAATGCTGTTCGCTTGTGAGTGTGTTTGCACTGGGGATGCTATTTGCACAGAACACATATCGAACTTCTTGACAGGATTGCTAATGAGATAAACAATTTGTAACGAGCAGATTCGTTGCCTTGGGCAAGGTGTTTGGTTATTGTCAGTAAGCTGAAACGGCAATGAAGGATGATAGAATACTGTGCAGCTTGTGTATATTTTCATACGTCATCTTTTATCGTATGAGACCTACACAATCAATCAGTATTACATTGATGCCAAGAGGGTTGTGTTTGAAAATTTGTTATGTAGTAGCTTTCACCTCATCAATATTTTTAGCGAATTTTCATAGGGTCACGGATTGCCCGCTCTTTGAGGTTCTTAAAAACAAGCTATTCTAATGTTAAAAAATTTCACGACAAATCTATTGGTCATAGTTTCATCGACGGCAGATGACTGGAAGTGAGCTATTTTGCCAAATTTCACCAATATTTACCATGGATCAATGGGAAATTCTCGTACAATTTAGGGGAAATAGGGCAAAATAGATCACTTCCCGTCATCTTCCGATTGATGTGATTTTTAACATAAGAATTCTTAGATTTAAAGAACCTCTAACAGCGATAGAAATAAGTTCCATTTTTTGGCTCGATTTCGCCCAAAATGCACTGTTGAAGTTCCTTAAAAACCAGTTATTCTTATGAAGAAAAAAAAAAATCACAACAAATCGATTAATGGTAATTTCATCGAAAGCAGATGACCGGAGGTGACTTATTTTGCCCCATTCCCACAAAATCATACGATGATTTCCTTTGTTTCATGGTAAATATTGGAGAAATGGGGCAAAATAGACCACTTTTCGTCATCTACCATCAGTGAAATCACGACCAATTGATTTTTCTGGATTTTTTTTACAAAAAAACATAGCAAATATAAGGACCTCAATCAATGGAAAAAATAAGTTCAGTGTTTTGGCTCAATTTTACACACTGTGCACTGTGGTTGGCTTATAAAGCTCTCAATTATCAATTATGGAAGCGTAGCTATAACTCGTAAAACGCTCGCCACATAAGCTTGAACAGTCTAGAAGAACAAGAATGGAAAGTTTCTTGGAAATCAATGTTTTATGTATTGGCATTCTGTGTTTTTTTTTAATAAATCCCCCCAGAAGTGAGATGAATAATAAACTTTTGCCAATCGGTGCATCGATGTATGCAGCAAAATTATAGAAAACATTATTCTTACAAAAATTCTTGCTGAAGGCACAAACTACATACTATTTTCTTGTGGTGGCTAAAATTTTTGAAACATAGTTTGTCTCACATATGTTCAAAATGTTACAATTTTTGATGAGGAATAGAAAAAAAAATTAGTCTTGGGTGGCATATACCTCGATAGTACATTACCAGGGAGGTAGCTCCAAAATCATCTTAAGCTTGAGAAATTGTATAATGTTTATTTCAATACTTACATTTCCAAATGCTCTTTTATCTCCTTTTCAAGAGTTGGTGAATTACATTGGCTCTGAAATAAATAGAGAAAAATATATTAATATTTAAGCCCCAAACCATATAAACAAATCCTGATGAATACTGTAGACTATAGTGATAAACCTGAATGTAGAAAGAGATTTAAATGAATTGATAAATAGCAGATTTTTAGCGATGGGCCCAATATTCGATCCATAGGCCAACATTAGAGCCATTTCCCCTAGCAAAAATTTTCAGAAAATAACGGAACAAAACTACCATATATATCTAGATGAATATCACATTGACAACAAACAGCCAGCTTTAAACCATAGTATTATGGCTTCGATTATTATAATTAGCGATTGTTTGGCATATTCAATTTGATCCTGCACAAAGGCCTTTTTCAGTAATTTGTCTTTTTTCTTCTTTCCTTTTTTTATCGTCGGTCTCTGTTCCGCAATCTAGTGCCAATCACCGACGGACATCGATTGTCATGCATTAACGGTAATCGAATGTGGAAGGCAGCTTCCACACCTGCGTAAGATTTATCGCACCCATTCAAACACACATGGGCCGGGACCAACGGCTTTACTTCCCTTCCGAAGAAAGACGTAACCAGAGATTTTTATGCCTCAGAAAAATCCCACCGGCCTCGGCTGGGATTGAACCCAGACCCATTGGGGTGACAAAGCAGTCACGCTTACCACTACATCACCGGCGTCGGCTGAAGTTTTTGTCTTTTTTACAATCTATACTTTGTTAGGATATTTTCTGTTCTGCATTATAAGATTTCATTATGATTCGAAGATTCCTTTTGACCGGTGTTAAAAAGGTTGCAAAATAAGAAAGATATAATAAATTTAAAATCATTATATCTAGAAAATCAAAGCTTTTTTTGCACCGTGTTAATTAGTGATGCATCGAATATTCTGCCGCCATAGTACTCAGCTGAATAATTAGGCCGCGTATCAAGCTTTGCACTTTTATAAACACTTTTATAAACGAAATCTGCATAACTGACGACGAGGTCAAAGGGTTAATTCCACTGTTGTACAGTGGAATTGTCGAAGTCTAATTCCTAATTTGGGGAAGGAAAAGTGCCATTCCTTCTATAGAGTGAATCTTCCTCAATTTATAGGTATTGTAGTTGTCGCATCTCAGGCTATTGTTAAAGGGAAGAGCCTTTGCATTGCTTATGAGTATATTCCTCCCCGAGTTTCGGTTAATCGAAAACAACTTTCAGATATCTGTTCAGTTCTTCCTACTCCACGGTTGATTATAGGAGATTTTAATTCCCACGGTACAGGCTGGGGGGAAATGTATGATGACAACCGTTCTAATTTGATATATGACCTCTGTGATAACTTCAATATGACAATTCTTAACAATGGAGAAGTAATACGTCTGGCTGGACCATCCTCGAATGGTAGCAGATTAGACCTCACACTTAGTTCTAATTAATTATCATAGGATTGTACGTGGACTGTTAGCCAGGATCCCCACGATAGTGATCACTTGCCAATCAAAATTTCGATTGCCAGTGGGTTCAGTCCGTCGGAACCCGTTAACTACGATCTCACCCGTATGATTAACATGAAATTTGAACATGCTCGGAAAAAAAAATATGAGCCCGATGATTTTGACCTTCCAAATTTTGCAAAAATAAAATAAGAATATGATAAGATTCTGAAGATAAGATGATAAGATTAACCCCTCTTGAGCACCTTTAAAAAAACATATATTGATTCTTTTCAAAACCTATAATTCGCTTGATTTCAACTTCTGCTGTGTATGTTGAGCTATGTTATAAGCATTTAACTGATTTAAAAACTTAAAGGCAAAATAATTTAAGGTTGCTTACCCAATTTGTAGTCATGTCACTAATCTTATGCAAAATTCACAAAACAAAAGGTTTTTCTCCAATATTGTGAAAATATTTGTTATCTTTACGTTTCATTTACCAAAGCTATCATGTCTCTTTAATTTATTTGCAATACCACAACTGGCTTTGACCCGACCAACCTTTAGATTTTCACACAAAGAACATAAGAAAAACGATCGAAATTCGTTCATTCATTAGACAGCCATCCTCGGTAGGGATGAAACAATAAAGTCCCCAATAAACGGAAATCTTTCCTTCCACTCGATATCATGCAAAAAGCCGTGGGAGGCATTTTCTTCCTTTGAAATGGCAACGTAAATGATACGGTCTTAGACAACAATGGCAAGAAGGCTGCTTTTAGGTCTACGTAGGAATAGATTTTTCGGCAGAAAGACGATGACAGGTTGACACTCTATAGGGCCAAGCGAACCGAATGATAGGGACACGGTGTAGCCTTCTAATAAATATAACTACAAGACCACAGCACATAAAACATATAGGTAGGTGAACCGAAAATGTGAGCATCAAACGCCAGACACAACAAGAATGGCAAACAGTCCCAAACCTGGACGACCTGGCGACGAGGAGACAGTCATTGTACTGTATATTAGGTACATAGCATGTACAGTTAGCACACGTTTGCCATCATTTGTGGGGATGTCTATGAGCTTATGAAATCTGAACTGAATTTTATGTGAGACTTTTAATAGACATACTTTAGCAGACATAGGCATATCTAAAAAATGTTCGGAAAGCTGTGACTTTTCTGGATGTGGATTTGAAATCTTGGCTGCTGACTCATCAAATATCAAAGGCTTTTTTCGATATAGGTTTGGACTTGATTGGCTAAGTCTGTATGAATTTTAGGAATTTCAGAAATCACCTCTTTTTTAGAGTGCACTGCGCATTTGTAGTCAAAATGTGGATTTAAATGCATTAAACATCACTCAAATCCATCAACTACTAAAATGGTCACTGAAAGGTCGGTTTCCTTTTCCTGGTGCACTTCCAGAAAGAGACGGTGACGCTCAAGCCATCCGCTCGATCTATTCCATCATCGTTCACTGGGAGCAAGGCATCAGCATCTACCAGCATGAGATTTCAATAACAACTGAAATTCATGCTAGTTGGTGGAGCCCATAAAGAAACTTACGGCGATTCTGTTGGAAAAAATTTCCAGCTAATTCTCTCCTCATAACCCTTCAGGAGAAAGCAAATACGATAGGTGATCATAGTGTTTCATCGCATTGGCTTGGCTCGAAAATCCAAAGTCCGCTCGAAGACCAGGATGCACAATGTGCCCACAATTTAGATGCCTCCCCGTGTGTCGTGCCACCCGAGGATAAAATTATGGTAGAACAAATTTGATCAACGCTTAAAAACACCAAGAATATGAAGGCTCTTAAAAAGGCTCAGCATGAAAGTGTACTCATTTTTGACCACTATCTTCAACAGATGCTTGGAGCTGCACTACTTTCCAATAGTCTGTTAGCAAAAAACATACCAATCCGCAAACTCGGTAAGGATCCACCATTCTTTTTAAGCTACAGGCCGATCAGCCTCCTTTCAACGTCGAGCAAATTATTTGAGCAACTCATTCTCAACAGTTTGTTCTACTTTGTAGAGGAACGAAACATCATCCTATAGGAACAGTTCGGGTTCAGGAAGGGGCACTCCACTAATCATCAGCAAGAACGGGTGAATAATATCCGAAGTAAAAAACTGTATCCAAGTCCACTGCCATGGCTTTGTTAAACGTTGACAATGCGTTTGACAATGTCTGGCCCGACGCACTAGTGTAGGGTAAGAATCTACTTCGGCCTAATCGCTCATTACCGGCCTATCGAGCATAAAACATCAAATATATCTATGATTACGGCGTTAACGTGTCAAACAAACGTTTGATACGATGCTTCTATTCAATATCTGCAAGACGAAGTGTTGAAGAACGCAAAATAAGATCTCGAAAACAAAAGGCGCACTTGAAGTGTACAAAAAGCGCACGCGAATTCACTTTTCTTTTCGTTCGATAGGCCAAAGAGAATGTCAATGGCGTTTCAATGGTTAATAGGCCCAAGCAAACCCGTAGGCCAAGTTGACCCACCAGAAGCAGTTTTGCATTTTTAACGAATATTTCGTGACCCCTTATCAGAACTAACAGTATATTTAGAAGCCATCTGTAATAATAACATGCCGTTAGGTGCTAAACTACGCTAGATTAAGAAATACTATGTGCAGGCTGTGCTTAATAAGCCGGGAATGGGTAGTTAACCCTACAAGCTTAGTAAATTCAACTTTCCTTCGCTTTTTGTTAAAATCACCCGACAAAGATCAAGCTTACACAAAATAGGGTGCCCCAGAATGTCTAAGCACAATTTTGGAACACCCTGCTTGATTCAGATGACGTTTAAACAGCTGATTAACACTTTGAATCATTGTTTACATGTCGGCCAACAATTCCGTGTTGGTTCGTTTCATTTCCGTGACAATGCACAGCATTTCTTCCGGAATGCGCAAATAGATCGTGTACTATCCCCAACATTTATCTGCTTCAGTTAGCTAAATTGCAAGGTGTAAGCATCGGAGCCGTTTAAAACGTGATTCGGAAGTATAGCGAGCAAACAACTTTCCAGGATAAGCAAAAATTTGGACGTAAACCGAGCCCTGTTGACCACAATCTGGACTGGAAAATCGTGCAAGATTTCACTCGAAAGAAAAGTGCTTCGGTTCGAGACGTGACTAAAAAGAGGGATCCTCGAAGAGTAACGTCCAGTGGGCCGTTAAATTTGATTACAAAACTCTTCCCGATGATCAGTACTACACCGTTCGTGATGGCCGAAGTCTTGACGACGCGGATAAGACGATTTTTACCGAAAAAAAAGGTTATGGTTTGGCAAACCATTTGTGAGTGTGGTTTGCTTTCCAAACCTTTTGTTGCAACGGAGACAATGAAAACCAATGTTAACGTGTGTGAGTTTTTGAATAAGCGTAACCCATGATCCGCAAACATGACACCTCAGTACTGTTTTGGCCGGATTTGGCGTCGGTGCATTACCCCAAGGACACGGTAGCCTGGTATAAAACCAACAAGGTCCAATTAGTACCCAAGGAGATGAATCCGCCAAACTGTCCCCAGGCCAGGCCAATCGAAACTTTCTTGGCCCTGACCA